GCCGCCAGCCACTCAAATCCCACTGGTTAGGTCAGTGATGACTCGGGCTTTCACCAGCTTCCGCAGGAACTCCTTCTCCCGCTGGATGTTGTGCGTCCAGGACTGGAAGGAAACGGGAGAGACAGGAGGTCAGCAGCTATCCTGGCCAAGCATGCTCGCGTCCCCCACGTTGCGGGAGACTCCAGCTAGGGCAGGGCAGTGGCTTCTGCCAAGGAGACAGACCCTGCTGCAGACCAGAAGAACCCTTGCAGACCAAGGGCCTTCTCTTATCTAAAGCCGACACAGCCAGCAGGGTCAGACCTGTGTACCTGAGGTAGGAGGTCTCCCCATGGGTTGGGTGAAGTTTTTTTGGCATGGTGAGATCTGGGCAACCCAGGTACCTTGGGCAGAAGTAGCTGGTTACAGTGGCCTCCCAAGCCATGGCACTCGAGTCCAACAGTACATCATTAATGGTGATGTGTGCTGGGGAACAGAGCTGACAGAGAATGTGGTGGCAAGACTTGTCGTACCCACATACAGCTCCCTGCCAATGGAGGTCTCTGGGGAATGCATGGGGGTGCTGGCAGCTGAAAAGCCTCAAGACCAGCCCCATCAAGGCCGGCTCTTGCCTCTGCTAGCCCTATCAAGAGGAAATCACACGCTAAAGGTTACACTAATACAGTGTGAAGGGTGAGATGGTCACACCTCCCAGCCAGGCACTTCAGAGCAATGATTGCTTTAGCTGGTGTCAGCCCACCCAGCTGTGTTCCTGCAGCAGGCTTTAGCCACGATCAGAGCATCTGCCATCACCCCTCTGTGCTGGTACTATTAAAGCACTTAATGAAAGCAGTAAGTGGTTTGTCCCCTGGGGAGACCAAGGCAGAGCAGGGAAAAGCAGCATTCCCCAAAATCTCTGAACAGGTCAAGAATCCCAGTAAATGAATCCAGGTCTCCAGCACAGTGTTCTGGCCAGCAGGTAATCTGAGTTCTAAATATGATCTGTACCATGATAAAATCACTCTACAGGAGCCTCCCTGAAATGGCCTCAACCAACAAAGCGCCAGCCCAACGAGCCCTCTGAGGGCACTTTGTCATAGGTATCTAAACCCAGTTTACCCACTGGAAAACCATGGGCATCTGCCTGCAAAGCACTGGGTGCACCCATCACACACAACGTGCATGTGGCTCTCCTGTCATCTGTGGATGTCCTGTCCTGTCCAGGGCAAGCAGCTCTCAGCCACAACTGCTGACTGTGAGGCACAGACGGCCCTAGTCATGGTGTGGAGATGCTGCCAAGAAGTCCAAGGGACTGAAGGTCCCTCTCTAGATCTCCAGCACATTTTGGAAATACCTCTCTTGCTGCTACTGTGCATTTACAAGCTACTGCCACCCCCTCAGTGCACAGGAATGGTGACAGTTAAAGCTGCTAAGGAAAGTTCAGGTAGGTCTTATCTTGTAACCTGCGTCTTTGACTTCCTCTGTTTCCAGTGACACTATTACCTGAATGCTGCAAAGGCTGCACCGGCACCAGCAACAACACGGCCACACATGGTAAACTGTGCCAGTGCTCTCTGGGACTCTGAAAATGCAGAAGATCTCATCTCTAAACTGAAAAGACGCTGCCCAGAAACAATTCAGTACTTGGCTTCTGCTAGCATAAAAGGAGAAACTGAAAACTGGCACCGGGAAGAAAGTTGGCTTGTAAAAGGAAAAGAGTATGAATTTCAGAACACAGAAGTGGGGGTGATGGTGGTGCAGAGCAGAGGGAGCTGGGAGAGCAGGGCTGCACGTGCCTGTCACTTGGAGCCAGAGAGCCAGGATCCCCCAATGTACTGGAAACAGTCCCACAGGCAGCACATCAGCAGGGGGTCCGGGGCTCGGCCCCTGACACGCAGCAGCGTCTCTTCTGACAGCACAGTCCCTTGCTAGGAACGCACGGCACCGGCAGAGGCAGCCAAGTGTGCGTGCGTGCTCCTGCCAACAGCTGTCTGCTGGCACAGAGGCCACGCTGGGAACACCAGGTCTCGATGCATTCACTTACATCTGGCTGGGCTTGTTGTTCAAAGCCTATCTGGAGCACGAGGGAGCCTGATGTGCCTGACACGTCATAGCACAAGCTGATCCCTCCTTCATGTCTTTCAGCCTCATCAAACAGTATGAGAAGCCAACTGGTTTCATCCAGCACAACCTGCTGCGTCCCTTTGTACGGACGGGTAACTGGGGAAGCAGCCACTTCCAGGCAAACTCAAACCACCTAAAACCTCACCGCAGGCCACATTCCAGAGCCTTATCTGATGGCAACGGGAAATCTGCTTCAGGAAAGGTGCAACTGGAGCAGGAATTCAAGTACAGGAGGTGGATAACAAAATTTTGAGATACAATTGCAATCTGTTACATTATGGCTAGGTCTGGCTCCAGCACTGACTGCAAGGCTGCTGGCAAGACCTATAAACCTCTGGCTGTTCAGCATCCAGGCTGCTCTATACCCTGGGCACAGCCACAAACTCCTCCTTCCAGGCAGAAAGCCACATGTAAAGGAATTCAGCCTCCCATTTGATCCACGGATCTTGGTGGTGTCTGCGGCAGTACTCCCCAGTGTTTTGTGGCTGAATGTAAGACCACAGAGGAAGAGGATTCCCCGGTGAGGACGGGCTTTCAACCCCCACAAAGAGCACTAGCAGAGCGCTTGCTCGGTGCGGTGCTGCTCCCCCTGTGCCGGATAGCAACGCAGGCAGGAGGGATGAGGCATGTCTTCAACACCAGCTCTGGTTACTGATTACAGGAGAGGGACTCACCCCACTGACAGACAGAGCTCATCAGGCAAAGGAAGCTACATTCCAGCGCCGGCGGCTGCAGTGGGGAGAAGAGCCGGCGCAGATTTATCAAAACTGCCAGAGAGAGGCAGGCACCTCACTCCCATTGCCCCGACAGGGGAAAGGCAACAAAAGACATCCTAAAACGCAGCAGGTTTTAGGGTGTATACACCCTCGATAGCACCCTGAGTAGCACAGTCTGGTAGCACACACTGCCGGCAGGCGGGAGGGCTCTGTGAGCTGGCTGCAAGGTCTCATGAAAAGCCAGGCCTTGGCAGGCTCAGTTTGGTTTGGGGCCAGGACCATGTTATGGCTTTTGTAAGGGAAAGTTCTCTTTTGCCACTCCTCACTGGGTAAGCTGAGGTACCATGTGTAACCAAGCTTGTGGGCAAGTAGTCCTGGAAATCTTTCAGCTGATGCAGTGTTCTGAGCTGCAGCAGGATGGTAAGAAAGAGGCAATGCTTTGGCCACTCACATTCCCACAGACAGGGCTGTGCTGTCAGAGTGCTCATTTTGACATTTTAAGCTGAGCGTTGTGAGCAGGATCCACACCTGGAGAAGGATTATGTGAAGCAGCTGCAACGCTGGTGCTTTATTCCTGCTACTACTGCAAAGAAGCCTTCTCCTGCCCTCAGATGCTGGATGCACTTTGGCTGTGCTGACAAGATGCTCACTGTCCCTTCTGACTGTTCTGACCCTCTCTTCCCGTGCACACCAAGCCATTTCTGCCTCATTTCCTACTCCCGTATGCTGGATTATTCACATTCACAAAGCTCATGCCCTGAGTCTTGAAGCTACGCCTCAGCATCACAGGCAGGAAACTCCAGCTCTTCTGTCATGAATCTGCACCTCCAGACAGCAACAGAGCAGCTTGGAGCATTCACTGCCACCTCCACCTTCTTGTCCCCGCACGTCACTACCACCACTGCTCCTGTGACCTGGCAGACTGTCTCTGCCCTCTCCCCGCTCCGCTGCTCGCATCGAGCAGGCAGCTAGTACAGATCAGAATCACAGAATCGCGTAGGTTGGGAAAGACCCTTAAGATCATTGAGTCCAACCGCTTGTTTCCACGTGAGCAAACAAACAGGATGCTTCTCTGAGCACACAGGCAGAGTAATGAACTTCTGGGAGCTCCACCGGCAACGTCCCAAGAAGCTCCAGAACCCTTCCTGCTGTTTGGGGATCAGGCTGGGATTTCCTTTGCTTCGGGTCTCTCTATGATTAGTAGGTGATTGCTCTTTTCAGTGGAGACAGAAACAGCAGGAGGAGAGTCACTCTGCAAGCAGATGCACTGTTATGGCTGTCTATCCCAGAGAGGTGGCAGTTGGTCTGATGTGTGATCGTTTGGTCACAGTTATTAGATCAAAATTTATCATCAGTTAAAGCCACCTTTCAGGGTTATGCAAATGCAGCAGCCCCAAACCACCTGTCCTTTTTTTCTTGATGACTCCACGAGGAAGCACAAAACGTCCTCTGTCCCTTCAAGAGAAGCCAAGTAGAATGTTTTAAGACTAAGAAAATGTTTCAGAGACCAACCCAGGAGGAAGGTAAGCTCCCCATCTGTAATCAATTACAATCAAGGAATGCCTCAGCTTCAGAGCACGTTAGTCTTACCAAGTATATTGCAGTATCTTAAAATACAGGAAGATTAAATCAGAGAGAGTGAAGTCAATGAGGAATGCATTCAAGAAAAACAGCAAGTTGTAAAGCAGGAGGTTTCTCAGTTCTGTTACATCCTCCGTATTTCTGCAAGTCAGCCGCATTTCTCCCCGAAAACCTGCACAGAAATCACTGCAGCGGCAAGAAGTGCTACTTCACTGCTAACAGTCGGCTTCTAGTCTCTGCTGGTGCTAATTTATCTCTAACTTTAACCTGCACCGCCTTGTCTGTAGAGCAGCTTATTTTTCATGATTCTGCCTTGCCCATGCCCTTGCTCTGGTCCCGGCATGGTGACCACACACACTAGGTGTTTTGTGGCCACCTCCTGAGCCGCAGTTTCACCTCCCAGTGCACCTCCCATGACACCAGTGCCTCCTCGCTCAGGACCTGTTGCCCCCTCCTCTCTCAATCCATCCGCCGGGACATGGCAGCACTGCAGGCTGCCCCGTCCTGTCCTGCCTACACCCCTCGGGAGTCACACATACTGAAAAAAAAGGGAAGGCTGGGCACCCTCCTCTTTTCATGTTTAGGAAAGATTTACTCACAGCTCTTTTAAGCCTAGTCATTCTTATACCAACTTGAAACTTTAAACAGCTCTTTTAGCACCTGCTTATTCTTAATACATACACAGCAATTGTATCTCTTCTCAGC